GACCGGCGGTGCCGGCAGGGGGTCGGGGGTCCGCGGCGACGACCCGTCGGCGACAAGTCACCGGCCAACGGCGGCGGCCGGAGGCGGCGGCAGGGACCCCGGGAGGCGGGCGACACCAAACCCAACGCACGCGAGCACGCTCACACGCGGACACCGCCGGCACAGAGCGGACAGGGCCAGGCACGGGAACCGGGGTCGCGCCGGGCACGCGGCGGCGACACGCCGAGAGAGCACAACACCCCGGATCCGGGACAGGGGCGGGGACGAAGCCACACGGCTCGAGACGGAGGAGACGATGCGATGCGGGCAAGCCTACGCACGGCAAAGCGGGAGGGAGGCGCGGGAACCCGGGACAACATCGCGCAGGCACGCGAGGCGGCACCCAGCGGGAGGAGGCACGTCGTGACGCCGGCTTCGGGCCCCTCGGACGGCCAACTCCCGAGCGAGGGACGCACGCGGGAATCTCACCACCATCGCCCCCGTGGCGTACCGGCGGTCCCGCTGGCAGGAACCCTCGTCGTGAGCAAAACCGATCCGGGAAGACCCTTCAAAAGCCACCGCCGCCGCGACGACGTGCCTCCCCCACACCGGGGGAGCAGCCTCACGAGCTGAGCGCCGTCCCCCCCCCCCCAAGAGAACACCAACACAACGCCCGACTCGACCGTCCGCCGGTGGCCGGCCACCAGGCCAAACCGGCGAGGATCGCGGAAGGCTGATGCGGGTGAGGAGGGCACGCCGGAAGCACAACAAGAAGAGCAGCGGGAGGGTCACCGGGTCGGGTCACCGGGGCGAGAGGCGAGTGAGCGAGCGGCCACCCCCTCACACGGGCGGGTGGCGCAGCCGCAGACCAACGGGGAGGTGGGACCTTTCCGGGCACAGCCGGCACGCCAGGTAAACGAACGCGGGATCTCACCACCCCCAACTCCGGGGCGGTCCCGCGCAACGCCTGGGACACCGAGCCGGCCGACCAGCGGACCGGAAACCCCCACCGCGGCAGCGGCGGGCCCCCCCAAAAGAGGCCCGAGAGGGAAAAGGCAGCTCTCGCACACACCTCAAAGACCCCGTGAACGCCCGCGGAGCCGCCCGCGCCAGCAGGGCCCCACCGCCTCCATCCACACCACACCGCCGGGCACAGCACCCATCATCGACCGCCTCTTTTTCGGCCGCGTGAGCAAGGGCCCACACACACCGGGATCCTCGGCTCCGGGGGGCCAGAACACCCCCGAGCGGCGCACCACCACGGGCACGGCAGCCCCGGAACACCGCGGGGCCCAGCGCCCGCACGGCGCCGTCGTCGCCAACGGGCGGCGGCCCACACAGACGCTCGGGAACAGCGTCGCCAGGGGCCGGAGGGGGAGGGGGACGGGACCCCCAAAAACCCCACGGCAACCCAAGCACGAGGCCAGGAAGCCACACACCACACGCCCTCGCATCGCGACCCGGCACGGGCTCCAGGCTCCGCCACTCGACACACCGCACGCGAGGCAGGGGCGGGGACGGATCGGGAACGTCCTCCACTCACCACACCAGACGACGGCCCGGGAGAGGTCCCGCGGGACCCTCCCCCAGCTCGGAGGGGGGAGGCGCGGGCACGCAGTTTACCGACGCGGGCAGCCACTAGCGCTCAAAAGCGGGGCAGGGAGCGGCAGGGCCGCGGGAGCCCATCGGGGGCGGGCCCCCGCCAACCCAGCAGCGCACGCCGCTTCCCGAACGAGGATCGCTAGAGAACCTCTCCTCACTCTGAGGGTGGCCCGCACCCAACCCCGACGGGAACCCCGCCGGGAACCAGCACACATCAGAGGCGTCCATCCTTCCCACCACGGGGGGCAGGGAGGGGTGGGGCACAGGGGGGGGTCTGCGGCAGCAACACCAACCCTGGTCGGTCGGCCTTGCCGTGCGGGGCCAGAGCAAAGTCGCGCACACGGGCGGGAAGCCCGCACGGGCCCCGCTCGCCTCCCACTGCAACATCTCAGGTCCCCCGGTGCGATGAAAGCCAGGTGACACGGCAGGGAAGACAAGCCAGGACCAGGGCGGCAGCTCATGCGGGGAAGCCACCGCCCAGCGCAACAAGGGAAGAGCGCTCCTCTGGGGAACCGCCTCGACCCCCCCCAGCAGAGACGTCAATCTCAACGGTAACTTCTCACTCGCACAAAAGCCCCACGAACCCGAGGACGGCCGGGACACACCACGGGCAGCAGGCTGGCACAAGGCAGCGGACAACGCCAGGATCGGGAACGACACCACCACTCAGCCTCAGGCACCTGAGAGAACCAACCGGGAGCGTTCCGGGAGCACCGCAAGAGGGCAGAGCGCGAGGCGCGGTTTTTCACACCACACAGCACGGGCAAGCACGGAGCACCGACCCTCCCTCTCCGCGGAGAGAGCCGACCCCCGTGCCGATAACGAGTCACGGGAAGAGAGGAGCAAGATCAGGGCGCCCCCCTCCTCCAGCGTGTACAAGTCCCCGACCTCACGGCGAGGGCAGGGAGAGCGCAGCCGGGCCCGGTTGCCGCACCCCCGCCTCCCCGCACACCACCGGCGCCGGCACGGTGGGACGGGTGAGGGCAGGGGCCCACGGGCAGAACGAGAAGAGCGGTCCCATTCGCCATGAATGTCCGTCCCTCGCCTGGCGCAGCTTAGGCCCGGGCCCGAAGGAGATCGCAACGTCACCACATCAATCACACCGAGGGGGTGGGAGAAGGCAGCCACGCGGCACTCGGGAGGCGGTGGCCCAGGGAAGCTCGGCTCCTGAGAGGGCCAACAGCCTGGGGATAAAAGCGTAGCCAGGACAGACACCCTTCCGTGAGTAAGGAGCGAGGTAAAAAGAAAAAGAAAAAAAAAAAATGAAAAAAATACCACGGGGCTTAAGCGTCCCTGGCACTCGGGATAACCAGGACACCTCTGCCGGGCACAGGACCGAAGAAGCTAGAAAGGGAGGAAAAAAAAAAAGAAAAAAAAAAAAAAGAAAAAGAAAAAAAGCCACGGACAGCGCTCGGGAGGTAGCGCAGCTCAGCGGCCGACCAGGCCCGCCATCGGGAAGCGGCAGGTCGGGGGAGTTGGAGCTAGGGGCGATAGGAGGAAGGAAAAAAAAAAAGTCACGGAGGTCGGGCGAGCCCAACGGCAGAACGGGGATGCCGCACACGCAAGAGTCCGGACTCGGCGGCCGGCGGCCCCCCCCTTTTTCCTCCTCAAGCCGGCCACGGCGAGGGAAGCACACCGTGCGGGCCCTACCTATGCACACCCCAGGCAACCAACCACTCTCCTCCTCAGCGTGCCGAGGCAAGGGCCAGAATCCGGCACCGGGAGCGGGGGAGAGATCAAGGACGACGGGACTCACTCAGCCGCCAACCACCACCACACCCACGAGCCACCACAGGGACACAGGGCCTGCCCAGGGCAGCGGGAGCCCAGGGTGTGAGGGGAAGGACAGGGGGACCCGGACCGGGAAGAGACGGGAAAGGCCCGGCACACAGCATCCGAGAGAGCCCCCAGAGACCCGCTGACAGCCACCGGGACACAGCATGCCAGCACCCTCCTGCAGGTACAAAATCCTCACGTCACCACGCCAAAACCAGGTCGTCAGGCAGGGGCGACAACTCGCTGGTGACAGGGACCTCTCGGAAACCACATCAGGGACACCTGTCCCCAACACGTCCCCAACAGAGCCAGACACGGAACTCTCAGGGACAGCTGGTCGACCACATAAGGCGAAGACAGACGAAGAGCCAGGGCGGGAGCGGGGTCAAGGGACGCTCCCGCCCCACTACCTCGCAGGCACACACCCCGGGTGTGCACGGGCTCACCGCACGGGCGGTACGGGGAGCCTTCCCCCGGCAGACGCGAGGCACCCACTCCGAGAGGCACCCAACCACCACACCCACACCGCGCGGGGTCGGTGGTGAGCGCCCTGCCGCCAGCACGCACACACCCGGGACTCCCGGGCTCGGGTCCCCGACTCCCGAGGTGCTCCCTCCGCCTCGAGTTTTCCCCTACGCAGGGCCCACCGGGCAAGTCCCCGCAGATGGTAGGTAGGTCCCGGCCCCGAGGCTCGCCTCGGCCGTGCCCGCGGCTCCTCCCGCCGGAGAGGTCTGTCCTCCGGCCTCCGGGGCCGTGGAGGAGGCCGTGGAGGGAGGCCACACGGGGCCGGCGACCCAGGCCCTCGCTCCCGGCACGCGCCAAGCGCTCACTCGGAGGTGACTCCGACGACCATCCTATGTCGGGGATGGGGGGGGCGTAGGTCCCGGCCCCGAGGCTCGCCTCGGCCGTGCCCACGGCTCCTCCCGCCGGAGAGGTCTGTCCTCCGGCCTCCGGGGCCGTGGAGGAGGCCGTGGAGGGAGGCCACACGGGGCCGGCGACCCAGGCCCTCGCGCCCGGCACGCGCCAAGCGCTCACTCGGAGGTGACTCCGGGGAGGGGGGGGGGTCCGAGTCCGGGCCGGGACCGGCCCCACCACCTATCGGCTCACCCGGGGACCCTCTCCCCCGACTCCCGAGACGTCCCTCGTACTCTCCTTTTTTCGCCCTCAAAGACCAGAGTCCAGGGAGGGGAGGAGGACAAGGCGTCGGGCCCAGACAGAACTACTGGTCGACCCGACAAAGCTGCCACCCCCCGCACAGACCGGGCACCGAAGAGAGAGCGGCGACGCACGGCCCCACCCCGCGCTCGCCTGCGGGCGCAAAGTCCGACAGAACAGCCGCCCCGGCGCCACAGCGACACCACGGCGACAGTCGCGCCCGGCACCCGGCAGAGGCCGGGCCTCCGCCCGGCTCGCTGCCGCCAGACCTCCTCCTCCTCCACTCGCTCGCTCGGCTGAGAACGAGGGGACTGTCATATCAAAGCGGACGCCAGGGGGAGCACGACAACCGCCTTCCAACGACCGACTCCACCGAGCCGCCGTACCCCGGATCGGCGCGCGCCGGCCGGCTCTGAGCTCCGGAGACACAGAACACGGAAACAAATCGCCTCACTCACCACCGCCACGCACCGAGTGGCACAACCTAGGTCAGGACCTGCAGCCGGGTCCTCTCTGCGACCTCACGAACGACACCAGAGCCACCAGAGACCTAGACCGAGATCGAGCCGCCGCCGCCGCCGCCGCCGCCGCCGCCGCCGCCGCCGCCGCCAGCGACCAAAGTGAAACCAGGAACCAGGACGAGATTCGCCCGAACGGAGCGGCCCGAACCCGAGAACCGGGAAGCTGGGATCGGTCCCAAGCAGGAAGGGGCGGCAAAGACGGCAGGCCCGCACCACGAGAGAAAACGAACCGGCCACCCGCACGACCTCCGCCGCCCGTGGCAAGACCCCCACCCCCGCCCAACATGGCCAGAAAAGGGCAAGTGAGCGCTCGTCCCACCGTCTGCCTGCCCGTCTTTTTTTTTTTTTTTTTTGGGGGGGGGGAGTGGGGGGGGTTGTTTGTACGTTTTGTTTTCTTTTTCCCCCAGATGGAAACCAGAAAGAGAAAAAAAAAAAAAAAAAAAAAAAAAAACTCCCAAAGATGGGTCGGCTCCAGCAAGAGACGAGCCGTCGGGAGGCACCCCGCTCACTTGTGAAAGTCCGCTCCTCGCCCGCCCCACAACACACTCCCTCCCCCCGCCCCCACCCGCCACCCCTCACAGGCAGGGAAAGGGCAGGGGGAAGGCCAGAGAGAGGTTTCTTCTAACACACAGAGAGTAGCTACGTCACGCACACAGGTCTGGAAAACCACGGTGACCGTGCAATGGGAAGCATGAGTCCACTCACCCATCACCGAATGACAGGAAAGCCAAACGAGAGCCGCTGCTGGCTGGGTGGGGAAGGAAGGGGAGGTGGCACCCGTGTGACGCTTATCCCCGGGCACCGCACCGGACGGAACGACCTTCTCACCGGTTCGTACTCTAGCCTGTCCAGACAGCTAGCCTTTTCTAATAGGCTCTGCCACTCTCTCTCTGGAGCAGGATTCGGGGCATGAGGCGATGAATCTAAACCCTACACACAGGTGTCGGAGGGTAGAGGCATCATCACTCACATGCCTGTGGTGGAGGACCTGGACCCGAGCGTGGCGGTGCACAGTGTGTGTGTGTGTGTGTGTGTGTGTGTGTGTGTGTGTGTGTGTGTGTGTGTGTGTGTGTGTGTGTGTGTGCGGGGCTGGGGGGAGGGCAGGTAGGGAACCCTAGGAGGAAACACAGGGAGAGACGAGGGGCCCCGGCCCAAACAGAGTGGAGGCGTCAGTCAGAGGGGCGATCCTATCGCCCGGGGGTGAAGCATGGTTAGAACCCACAGGCCCGGCGGGCGTACTTCTCTTTGGAGTTCGCACTGGGAACATACGCAGGCACAAGTGCCCCAGCACACACATCGCATCACAGACGGGTAGAGAGGCAGAGCCAGGGGTTCAGGCATGGCAAACACTCTATTCCGTCAACACACACACACACACACACACACACACACACACACACGTTACGGTGTGTGTACAATATCCACAAGGTAAAAGTTTATTCATCCATTCCCCAAAGAATAAGAATAAGATTATGTCAGACAGAGGGAAGTAGATCGACGGACTAGGAGCGTGAGGGGCGGGGGGGGGGGGGGGGGGAGGGGGTTGCCGGCGGCGGAGAAGAACCTAGAACAGGTGATGCCAGGGGAAGACAGACCGGCGGAAAGACAGACAGACAGACCGACCGACCGACCGACCAACGGCACGGCACGTGTTTTCCCTCCTATGTGGATGCTAGACCTAAACTATAACTGGACATGGTAAGCTACACAGCACTCCGGGCAAACAGAGTGTGTGTGTGTGTCCCCGTGTGGGTGACACACATAACGTCCTTTTGTCAGAAGGTGTAACTTCTCTGAGCATTTAAGATATTGCAGAGAAGACATAAGACGTGATATCCCTAAGTGGCACGACTGTGAACGTATTATCACAACCGGACGTGTTAGGATTAAAGCTGGAATTAGGAGGACAGAAACGTACCTGTCATTATTACAAGTATATTTTGTTTAGGATCTTTCAAAACACATTGATGTATCCTTCTGGACACCATGGTCTGGGACCACACCAGTAAATAGCCACTTCAAAGCCAGATCATCGGTTGGATACGTTTCAATTGGTTTATATTGCATCCTCCAATATTTTTTTCTTCTTTTTATTCTATCTTCTCACTAAAGATCCAGTGGCATAAAGCTACTTTTGTTCTCTTCATGTTCTATAACTGAAGTGATCTGCTTTGTTTTGCAGCTTTCTCAGCTTAATTCACTGAGGCCTATTTAGTCACACATGATGAGAGGTCCAGATACATCTTTGGGGCCACGGATGGCTTTTGTAAAGTCCATTTGGGGAAATAGCAAATATAATCTACCGTGTTCTAAAATTTAACAGATTATCTCTATGGGACCGATAGAAATATCCAGATGTGCCCTGTCAACAGCCAGTTATTTTAACTTACTTAAGGGAAATCAAGTGAATAAAAGTCTATATAGTTCAAGAAATTTTATTCTGATACCTATATAAAAAGTTTACCTGAGTGGGTGAGGACATTTGCATGAAATTTCACCTAGGGCAGCACTTGATATTTATAACTCTCCCTGAACTATTGCATTGCCTGTTTTCCATTTTCTTGGCACTCCTTGAGAAATGTTCCCGTCTCAATCTTTCACCCACTGCAGCCGTGGGACCCTTTTTCATAATACTGACGTAAAGACATTTGTGTTACTGTATATAAATTACAACCGTAAATAAACTGGTACAGTTTGCTCATAAGACGTAATATCCAAACGAATTCCGTGTCCAGAAAATAACGAAAAGAAACACCCCCTGCGGGCCCCCCTCCCCCTCCGCTCGGCCCTCCCTTCAAGAAAATTTCCTTGTTTGCTGTGGTTTCATTTTGTTTTGTTGTAAATAAAGCCGCAGAAGAGAGCCGGCGATACCTCATCGCGACTCTCGCGAGAGTCTGCGAGACTCTCGCGAGAGTCGCCAGCCTCCGCCATCAGCCCCGAATCACTCCCTGTCACTCCACACGGTGTCCAGTAGGTGGCACCCCGAAACAAGGAAAAACAACGTCAGGCCCAAGATCGATCCAGACCGAACCGACACTTTAGGAAGGTCTTGTGAGGAAGGAACACCTCCCCCTCACCCGCGCGCGCGCGCACACACACACACACACACACACACACACACACACGCACGCACACACACACACACAGACACACACACACACACACACACACACACACACACACACGCCCCAGCATCCCCGCCCACACAGGTCATGAATGGCAAACCCCTATCGCACAGAGAGACAGACAGACAAAGCACACCGGGTGTGGAGAGAGACCGCAAATGAAAAACAAAAACAAAACCAAAAAACATTTTCCTGGCTTGACCCATGAATGGGCCTGGGCTGGCATTCTGTCCTCTGGGATCTACAGTCAATCCATGGCGGGTCTCGCCTCTCTCCTCATCACTGTAATCCTATCTGATATTTGCCAGAGCCGAACGTGCAGTGGGGACACTTTGGTTCATCGATCTAAACTAGGGGCCGGGGGGGGGGGGGGGGGGGGAGGGTGGCGGGCGCGGAGGGGAAGCCTAGGAAGTCTGTTGCTATAGTTGGTGGCGGCGGCGGCGGCGGCGGCGGCGGCGGCGGTGGTGGCAGTGCAAAGTGTGTGGGGGGGGAGGGGAAGAGGTAGATCACATGCTGCCATGCGTGCCTGTGTCTGTGTGGTAGGAAACAGCAGCAAAGATCAAGGGGTGCAGGGTGTGTGTGTGCACGCCCCAATCCTGGGACTTGAACTCAGAGCCTGAGTGCTGTCCCGTGGCTCTTGTGCTCAAGACTGGCACTCTGGGGCTGGCAAGGTGGCTCAGTGGTAGAGCGCTTGCCTTGCGTGCATGAGGCCCCGGATTCGATTCCTCAGCACCACATAAGCAGAAAAAAGCCGGAAGTGGCATTGTGGCTCAAGTGGTAGAGTGCTAGCCTTAACCTGAAGAGCTGAGGGACAGCGCCCAGGCCCAGAGTTCAGGCCCACGACCGGACACCCCCTACCCCGTGCCAAAAAAAAAAAAACAGAGAGACTGGCAGTCTGCCATTTGAGCCAAAACTCCACTTCTGGCCTTTGGGTTGCTTAATTGAAGACATGAGGCTCACCAAAGTGCAATGCCTATATACCTCTGATCATATAAGAAGTCTTCCCCTTTCTTTGTGTTTGTTATCATCGACGTTATTTTGTTTTCTCTCCCCCCCCCCCATTGTTTCTTCCTTCATCTATTTCCGGGAGGGGCAAGAAATGGAGGGACCCAGGATGAAGAAGTGCAACAGTGGCACTCACTAGACACTATGTTGACACACAACCTGTGGCTGGGGAACAAACAGAACTTGAGGGAGGGAAAATCTGTGAGAGAGCCAGGGAAGGGGTGACATTGTCCAAAAAAAATGTACTCTTTTTTTGGGGGTGGGGGGAAATGGGAGGGCAGGAATGGAAACAAAGGAGGAGGCAGCAATGCTTGATAAGAAATGTACTCATTTCCTTGCTCTTGCTCCTGTCATTGTAACCACTCTGTAAGTATTTTCACAATTAAAACAACTCATTAGCCGGGCGCCGGTGGCTCACGCCTGTAATCCTAGCTACTCAGGAGGCTGAGATCTGAGGATCGCGGTTCAAAGCCAGCCCGGGCAGGATAGCGCCCAAGCCCAGAGTTCAAGCCCCACGAGAAAAAAAAACAAAAACAAAAACAAAAAAAAAACTTATTAATTAAAAAAAAATGTACTCTTCCTACCCCACTTATGTAATGTAATCTTTCCTATCCTTTTTTTTTTTGGGGGGGGGGGGTCGGTGGTGTTTCTTAAACTCTGGGCCTGGGTGCTGTCCCTAAACTCTTCAGCTCAAAGCGAGCGCTCTACCGCTTGAGCCACAGCGCCACTTCCGATTTTCCAGTGCCTTATTGGAGATAAGAGTCTGGTGACTTTCCTGCCCTGGCTGGCTTTGAACCGTGATCCTCAGCTCTCAGCCTCCTGAGCAGCTAGGATTAC